TAGTGAATCTAATGAAGAAATTCGATAAATTTTAAAATTTTACTACAAAAAAGGTAAAAATGCAACACAAGCCGCGAAAATAATTTGCGATGTTTATGGACCTAGTGCAGTGTCTGTGAGAGTAGCACAAGTTTAAGCGTTTTCAATCCGTAAAATTTGATGTCAAAGATGCACATCGCTCTGGTGGCCCTATTGCGAATAAAATGGATGCCATTTTTGAAAAAGTGGAGCAAGATCGGCATATCAGTAGCTACGACGTAGCTGAAGAATTGGGAATTGACCGCAAAGTTTTGGCGCATTTGAAAAAAACTGGGTACACAAAAAACCGTGTACTCATTTGTGACTCTTTATTACGACGTAATGAAACCGAACCATTTTTGAAGAAGCTGATAACTGGTGATGAAAAGTGGATCACGTAGCACAAGAACGTGCGAAAAAGGTCGTGGTTAAAGGCCGGTCAGACTTCACAGACTGTGGCGAAACCCTGGTTAACTTGCAACAAGGTGATGCTATGTGTGTGGTGGGATTGGAAGGGCATTCGACCATCGATTCTGAACTCTACTGTGAACAACTGATGAGATTAAAGCAAGAAGTTGAGATAAAGCGGCCGGAATTAATCAACAGAGGGTGTGGTTTTTCATCATGATAACGCTAGACCTCACACATCTTTAGCCACTCAGCAAAAATTAAGAGAGCTTGGCTGGGAGGTGTTAATGCATCCGCCGTATAGTCTTGACCTTGCACCCTCAGATTTCCACCTGTTTCAGTCTCTTCAGAATTCTTTAGGCAGTGTCAGGTTAACATCACGTGAGGACTGCCAAAACCAATTGTCGCGGTATTTTGATCAGAAGCCCCAAAATTTCTATAGCAATGGGATCATGTCCCTACCTAAAAAATGGTAAAAAGTTTTCGAACAAAATGATACCTACCTACATACTTTAGTTAAATGTAAATAAACTATATTAAAAAATGTTGTGAATTTTCTTAAAAAATGCGAAGAAGCTTTTTCCCCAACCTATTATATCGGCTAGCAGCCGGTCATAGTTAATTAATGCTAACAATTAGTCGAGTTAAATTCATTTGTATGCTGCAAAAATAGGCAGACCGAGGCAAATCGGATCAAAATAAGAAATCCTTAAATATTTAGGTTAACGCGTTGAAATAGAATACCTACAGGTGATTACCGTCTTTAGACCCTATTCGAATTCTTTAAGGCTGGAAACAGTAATAAATAAGACCAATTGAAGAGGTAGACTGAAATGATAGTACAATATGGACGAGAAATGTTCTAAGAAATGTCGTAAAACTACAAAACCAATTTTACATTTGAAATCACTCCAGAGTAAGAGTAATCACCTCGAATAAGATGCTAACAGTAAACATAAGACTGACAAAAAAGCTGTGGATAAAGAGAAAATGACCGATGACAATGTAAAGGAGAAGAATAAAAGAACGATTAGAATAAAAATTAAAGGCTTATCTGCAAAACAGAGAGATTGGCGTTGTGATTACTGATCTGAAAACATCATTAATCCCCCATCAGAGAATTGGATTCAGTGCTATGCATACGATGAATGGTGCCACGAAAAATGTGCTGATATGGGAGGGGAAAAATGGCCCACACGTATGTGTTTTATATGTTAGTAATTAATAATTGTTCTTATTATTATTATTCAAAAAATTTATGATTCCAAATCTTATAGTGTTAAGAATTTTTTATTAAAATACTTATTTTGCACGATCCCATTCGCCTGGAGAATTGGGGCGATTCGGATATTTCTGTGTTTCAAGTTTTAGTTTATAATTTTAAGTATGTATGAACTACTTAAGTTTTAAATTGTTGTTGATTGTTGCTGATTTCAATTCTGGCAGTAAAAGTTACTTATATTATTATATTACATTTTTGTATGACTTTCATAATGTCAAAAAAAAATTTACCCGATTTACCTCGCTCTACCCTACCTGTGTCAAACAGCTATTACTAATTACTTTATTATACATAAATGAACAACAATAATTGCAAATTGTTATTGATTTCCCAATAAAAAAAAGTTGAAAATTGTAGTCCCTCACTTTTTTAAATAGCAATGCGTGTACAAAATACTAACTATTTGTTGTCCAAGGCTCTTTTTAGATGACATCCAGTTTTCACTGACTAGAATTCAAAATACTTATTCTTTTCATTCATACTTTACTTTTCATTTTACTTTCAAAATAGACCAAAAGGTATAAAAAAATGTTGAAAAATCAACAGACGGCATTTGATGAAGGAATCACAAAGCAACTTGACATTCATAAGCTTTATGTCCAGTGATATTTCTTAGACCTAACAAACGAGGTTACTTCATTACTTTTGAAATAGACATTTCTAAATGAAAAACTTAAGAGATGAACACAAAATTCACTACTGATACTACTAATATTAGTCGAAATTATTTGTGTATTCAACATTGACCTTTGGATGTGATTGTCATTTTTATGACGATGTATCAAAGCCTTAACACGTGGCCACAGAACGTGATATCTGCAGCTCTTAGTAATTGCCTGCTGTGAACATGATCCCAGGCTACTCGCGTAGATGTGTTGTAGGTGTATAAAGGCACGACCCATCTATAATGGTATCGAGCGGTCGCGAGAACAAGACACCGGGTCACATCGTAGACGTTACAATCTATTGGAGCTCTTGTATTTACGCAGAGACTTCGTTTTTCTGTGTGTTGTATGTGTGTGTATGTTACATTTCAATTGCTCTAAGAAATGATTTCAAGTAATTATGTCATCTCATTTTCATCATCCTATCACCCACTGTTGAAGCAGGATTCATTCCTGCTGTCTGAAGCTGTTAAGGAAGAGGAGACGAGCAATGGTGTACGAAAAATGGATATTTTATCAATCCCTTTCAACTTGTATTTTTACATAACGGCAACACGCGTACACCAGTTTTCGTAGTAGCGTTACAGTCAGTGAAGTGAGTGCGGTGCAAGTGGTGCTACGCGATCGGTCGTCATTCAGTTGGTAGCGTGTGCGCATAGACCGACACCATTACATTAGCTTACAGTATATTTGGCTTAGCTATATAAAAGAAATTACCGATCTTCACCTTAACATAATCAACATTGATACATACTCGTACATAACTCACAAATCCCAGTACAACGCGCATCAACATAGGAGTAAAATGTAGAAAGCATGCGAAAGCTCTCCTAAAAGTATTCCTCTTGCGGAAGCCTTGCTCGGTCAAATATTCTGTAATAACAATATTAACTCAGTGTCGTTAATATAAACAGCATTAACGTTTACGAGAGAGATTCATTTTAGGAACAAACAGACTCGCTCCGGCGATACGCGCTAATGGAGGCCTTCTTTTACAGTTTGGGCCGGGGCCGGCGCTGCCACCCTGTCTTAAAACACCGGGTGTAAAGGAATACAGGCTGGCGAAACTTGGTGAAAAATCTAAATCATATAATCATTGTTGTATATCTCCTTAATATTTCATGTTTTTTGAGAGGTATTCTTTATAATCGTCTAAAAGGCTTCTGGGTCAATTACGTCAACTAAAATCTCCCAGCTCGGAATTCATCAGAATGACGCTGAAGTCAATTACGAGTTATGGAGGAGAGCAGTCGGTCAAGGACGAACGTGTCTCGAATTATGCTCTGGATATCATTAGGCTCGAGTTAAATTTCATGATGTATTTAGTGGAGGTTTTTTATTGCCTTCGAAGGAGCGTGGGGCCACCCACGTAATGGTGATCGTACTATCAGTGCCCGCTGTGACGTCAAACCTTTGATGAGTCGATTCTATATCGGAATGTCAATGCTGGAAGCATTTAGGAGTTGGCCGATAAGTTGTGTCTTCAGAAGGCCTTTAGTTTTTAATTATTTATTTATTCGCTCAGGCACCCGAGTCGGCGTTGTAAATAGAACCGTCGCAGGTGGATATTACAATGTGACTAATATAATAATAATAGCGAGAGCCCGTCGCTGCGTTACCGACTGCTTGGACAAGGGACACAGTAGCTCGTGACCACGACCCACTCCTCTTCATCTGGTGTCAGCTGGTTAACCTTGGCCATCGTAATACATTCTTATGTGACTAATAATATAGAACCATCACACCTTGAGATATGAGTGCGAAGTGCTGGTTGTATATATTATATATGACGACTATCCCGGGAACGCGTGACTGGTTAGCGGCAGATTGCAGCCGGGAGAATTGTGAGAGATATCTACTGGAAATTTTGGAAAAAAAAAACAATCGACAAAGTAGGTCGCGGCCAGCGCGTTGCGAAGCCCGTGCCGTCACTTTATTGTCATGGAAACTGAGAGCTTACATAGAGATCCTCGAGGATAAACCATATATCATATTAACGGAAAATGTCCCTGTCCGACTTAAGTCACATTTTCTTTCCGTGCTTTAAGATTTTCCTGGGATTTTATGGCAATTTTATTAAAACTATTTGGGTCACTGATATTTTTTTAGCATGCAGCTGCAAGTAAGTCACGAGACACTACAACACACTACTACTATTTAATGTTAAAGCTTCTCATCCTATTTTTACCAAAGTAATTGTACACAAGTATTGTACAATAAGATCGAGATAAATTTATTTACGTGAAACAATTACACAATAACGCGGGGTAGTTGCCGAGCTTTCGAATTCCGGATGATGGTGATTGACTCGGTCAATTTACATTTTCAGAATTAAAACTGCACTAAAAACCTGCTACTGTTGAATGAAAAACATGCTTATCATCAGTTACCGAGTGCATAGTAAATATGTAAATAGGTAAATAGTATATACAAATTAATTATGTAAAATAAACAGCGCAAAAAGGTTTGTTTGTGCACAAATTTGACAGATAGCTTGCTCGCTGACGTTTTAGGCAAATATTGCGTAAGGAAAATGTAACTATGTATTACGCTTCATGGGTTTGAAAATTTTGTTTCTTTATATGTTTTTGTCGTGTGTTATATGAGGACCGAATGGAAATAGAGAGATGTGCGACAGAATCGGGAGCTTGTGCTGGCTGATGTACGTGGCTTACATTTCAACGTCCAGCTCTACAGGTTAAATTGTTTTTCGTAAAACATCAAAGCTTTTTTGGTTCATGTAAGACGCTAATGTTCCTCGGGATAAGAGATTCAAGAAATGCGGAAATTGTGTTCTACCAAGTTTCACAGATAAAAGCTAATATATTTACAGGATTAAATTCCTCGTTTTGTAGTATTTTATGAAAATAATTTCCTTTCATTGGGTTACGATGACAAATGTCAAAGGAAATTATACCTTAATGAAAATATCGTCCCCACGGTGCGATAATTAACTAAGTAGACTTATGTATTTCTATTTTTATTTCATAAAATGAAACAGCATTTCAATTTCTTGTTCCTGTCTCACTCATATTCCTGTAACTGTTATAGTTTTTTAATTGGAAAATGTGAAAATACACTAAGGCCTGATTATACACAATATCATGGAAAGAAAATTAATTAGATAGAACTTAATTAATATTTCCTTAACATAAATTTAGTAGTGCTTGATTTCATAAATCACTAACGCAATTTGATTAATTTGGAGATCACAAGAATCGGTTAATCACGTTTAAGATTAGATAGTGAAAATGAACCAGCTCAGCTTCTCGATCTCCCGTTCTCAATTCACATATAATTTATACAAAAATACAAATGCGAAACACCTTCGCACAGTTTTAATTAACTCTATTGTATTAACGTAAGTGACTTTGCTTCTGTTTCGAAAAGCATTATTACACCTTCTTAGTTTGACAATTAACTAACTCATAAATACCTTAGTAATTATGTAAATAGAGTATCATCAAATGTTCATTTCATTAATGTCCACTTAATTTATAATTTACTTATTACAATTTGATTTGTTAAAAATCCTTTTTTTTTCTTGAAAGTCGTATAAAAACTTTAATAGTCTAACGATTGAGTCAAATGTGAATGTCTGAACAAACATTTTTAGGCTTAGTTTACTCTCGCTCCAAAATTAAACCGTAAACCTCTGACCTCGCACGAGACCTTTATAACAGAATACGTAGTTTATTAAAATAATGTTTAACTGCAAATATCAGGTGTGACATCTAGATGTGACAGCACGCAACACTAGTACCTACGCGAGTAGTAGTAATATCCTGATCTGACTTTTCTCCATCTAATCCTCCCCTAATTCGAGTTAGATATTTTTACTTGTAGGTTAGTTTCGTTTAGAAAAATGTTCAAGGGCATCCTCCACTTTATTAATAGGTAGGTTAATGTAATTGTTTAATGTATTATATTGTGAATTTTTTTTTTTTTTTCCTTACATTATTCGTTAGATTAGTTTTTGTTATTGTGTTGTTTTGTCATAATTGTAAGGAACATTGTTATACAAATTCAGCACTATATGTCTTGTTTTGTCGTGCGCACATAACTTATGTTGCAAGCCAGATTTTGTTTCTTTTTATTCGTGTTTTTTATGTATCTTTAGCTTGTGATGTGTATTGTGANATTATTCGTTAGATTAGTTTTTGTTATTGTGTTGTTTTGTCATAATTGTAAGGAACATTGTTATACAAATTCAGCACTATATGTCTTGTTTTGTCGTGCGCACATAACTTATGTTGCAAGCCAGATTTTGTTTCTTTTTATTCGTGTTTTTTATGTATCTTTAGCTTGTGATGTGTATTGTGAGCCTAATAAAATAAAATAAAAAAAAATAAATAAAAATAAAATTGTTTGACGAGTGTAAAAAGTCACCTCTCACTATTTACAAATAATACATATTAGGGACACGAGAGCTTCGGTAAACAAATCAGCTTAAACGGGATATTTCGTTTATCAATATGCTCAATCGTTCACGTAAGTCGTCAATAAGCTACCGACTGAAATGACTCGCTGTGTCCAGCCGGTTAACGAACAGTTATTTTCCAAATGAAGCGATCAGATCAGGATTAAGAGGAACCTTGTGTTACAAATTGGATTCGATATCCTGCACGTTCGAATTCAGGTGTCGTTTGATTAACTGTGTATTTAGATTTTGTTTACTGAATATTTTTGTTTACTAATTCTGTAATGGGGTTAGAGCATTGTGATCTCCTACGGGCTGATACTAATGCGCAATTATGAAACTTATATGTGTCTGTATATGTGAAACTGATAAATGATGAGTTGCCATCTCATGTCCAAGCCGCGTTGCGACGTGTCGTTATGCACATGGTTGCCTTGTAGGTAGTAGCTCCTCTGTACCTTTAGTATTATCTGGAAATTTAATAAGCTCTCTTGTTGACCCTTAATTTTTTTCTTTATTTTTTTTTTCTTTATTTTTTATTTATTTATTGATGCACAAAACAAATTACAATCGTTACTGTACATATTAGCTAAATCCTACAAATAGTACCTAGATCTAATCTGGATTGCAATCTATAATAGTATGTGCACTCAGTAAAGCCATATTAATGTGCAAAGCTTTGGCTATTGAAAACACAATTGAAATTACAAATTAAATTAATATTAAAATCTTGTAAACTGGTATACCATAAATTCACCGTTGGGATTCACCATTGTAAGTACAATAATACAGAATATCTTCAAATACTCAGATATTATGTATATTCTCTAGAATACATGTTTTTTTGTGTTTCGCGTCGACTAATCGTAAGTTTGAGTTAATTGTCGTTTGTTAATAATTATTCGGTTCACAAAATACCATTCAGCTATACTATGGTAGATCGGTCAAAGGAATGGCAGAGATAAAATGACGCTTACGCAAGATACTATGATATCATTCAGACATCTTCCAATCTTGTCTCTGTGTATATATTTTTTTGTTTTGTCTAATAAAGTTGACAGTTGGTTGAAATGATTAATCTAGCTTAAGTTGAATTAGAATTTACAATCGGCTGGCTACCGGTATGTCTTGGACAGCTATTGGAAATAGCTTTAAGTTAAACAGAAGTGTGCTGATAATATCCAACTGTAGATCGGAGTAGTTAATCTATCTCTGTTCATCAAGTTGACATAAATTAAGTCCAAGAAAGTTAAATTCGGAAACAAAAACAATAAAAAAAGATGACTGATTAATGTGAAGATAAATAACTTTTTATGGAAGCTCGTTTTCTTTAATTTGTTTTCTTTTGCGCGAAATATTTCTTATCCGTATAATTGTTTAGTATTTCGTTTTATTTAACTAGATGTCGCAAAGCTTTATCCGATATAGCCTGTGGACTCTCGCAGTCTAACCATATCTTACGTGTCCCCTAATGGGGAAACCGGCGCTATAAATAACGTAGTTTCTAGACTCAGTAAGTTCCATTTTTTTTTCCTGGAGAATCGTCTATGTATCTGTTTAAATAATATGTAGTTAGTTACACGGATTGCTTATTAAATGACTAAAAATATGAACGAACAATCTATTTGATAATGCTGACGGATGCTATCCAGTGAAGTCGTGAATTAATCCTCCATTGAAATGTTCAAACGCAATTTCGGAACAATAATTAAAATGAAGCAATAAACAATTTTGATTTTGAATCTTAAAACAATTTTATTAGGACATTACTGTGTCGAGTTATGAATGCGAATCTAACTTTTACAGCTCAGAGCGAGGAGGATTTTTATTCCGTTTACCTGAAATAAGGATTATGGTGGCGTTAAATTTCAAATCGAAATCAAATTTCATTTTCAGCTCTTTATGCCACTTGTGGTGGTAGGGCGTATTGTAAATCTGTCTCGGTAGCGGGGGCAGGTTCAAGTTCACTTCTAAGCTGGGCGGTAACTATGAAACATCAGGTGGACCGTGGGTTCACTCGAACATCTAGGTTTTGTATTGGAACTCTATTCTAGAGAATATGGTACTAGAGTACCACATTGTACTTTATTTTATTGTTCTAAACGAGTAGATGGTTCGCGACCAGCTCGGTATTACAAGACTAGTGGAACCCATAGACATCACCATATTTATGTTATCATCTGTTGAGGAACATAGGACAACCACGTGACAATCATGACAGTCACATTTTTTATTTACAGCCTTTGTAGGTAGTCGAGTATACGGCCCACCTGATGGTGAGCGATCATCGTTGCTCACGGTTATCAGCAACGCCAGGGGCAAAGCTAGGCCGCTGCCTAGTATCAAAGATTGCTTTACAAGAGTTTTTGAAGAAGATTCAGATCATATCGCTCCGAAAACATTGCGGAAAAAGTTCATTCCAAAGTACGTAGCAAAAAATATATCTGTAAACGTGCTATGGAAGAGCGCAGTAGTTCCAAACGTTACAAGTGGTTTTTGTTCGGATGTCGGGCGTTGCTGGTAAAAAGGAGGTGGCGAGATCATGTCAAACATAGGACTGATGACAACGGGTGTCTTCAGCCAGTGCATCCAAAACGCTTAAGATCTTTAACATGCTTTTGATTGGTTGTAGAGCTCACACATGATCAGACGACTTCAAGAGCTAACACTCTCTTTGACGATGCTGACGATATTCAAAAGCAACTGGAGATTGAGGCTAAAAACCGATTTGTATACGGAAGTGTTAGTGTGGTGTTTCTTTGTTATTTCTGAGGGTGTTTTGAATCATGTGCAGGATTGTATAACAGCTTTTGGGATCCTCCGGGATTCTCGTATTATACTAAAGTTGAAACTCGAACTTGAGAAAATCCCATAAATCATAATAGTGTTCAGTGGGCCTACATTATTAGAAGATGGTAGTTAATATTGAGATAAAATTTTATGAAAATTTCAATGTTGTTATACGAAAATGTAGGACAAAGTTATTGTCATCTGTACATGTAAATAAATTAATTAAATGTAAATAAATTAATAGGTATTTTGTTTGTAAGAAGAATGTCACTTGAGAACGGTAAAAGCGATTGGCCTTTCTTCCAATTATAGGAATAGTCCGAATAGCATTTTTTGTTTCTAATAAAAACATGGCGACGGATTTACAATTAGTTGGTTGACATCTTTATACAACCATCCTGAAGTCTGAACATACTTATTATAATTTCGATATAGTACATATTAGTGCGATATAGTACATGGTTTCGCGTAAATAATGATACGAATCTAAAGCAACCTTTTTTTGCATAATTTGCTTACAACTAATTTGGGTTATTCTTTTGAAATGGTATGGCTGTCAAAAACTTTGTTTTCTTGTTTTTTCTACCTAATTTCAGGATTTGTATACGGGGCTAACAATATTTTATTGAAGTTCTATTCGTAATAATAAATAATACCAAATAATTTACACATGTTACAAATTGAAAATTTACGAGTATGTAATATTAGGGGTTAAAGTATGAAATTGCCGATTTGTACTGAAAAATTGAAATTCGTTTTTTATTTCCATTTAATATATTTATTTAATCAAAATATCTACCATTATTATCTATACATTGCTGCAATCTAATAGGAGGGTCATTTATGCCTCTGCGACAGAACTCTGGTGATCTAGATTCTACAAACTGTGTGAAAGCATTTTGTACTGCCTCCTGGGAAGAAAACTTTTTATCACGTAGAAAGTTGTCCAAATTACGGAAAAAATGGTAGTCCGTTGGAGCAAGGTCTGACGAATACAGAGGGTGACGAATGGTTTCTAATTGCAGTTCCTCTCTATGTCAGTTCGAAGTACCTATTACAATAAAACGGCAATTTCATACTTTAACCCCTATTATATCCCTTATAGATTCCAATCAATAACAATTTTAAATGTTCAATTCCGAGTTGAGGCTATATATATATATATATATAACCTTACAACTTTACGCGTGAGCTAGCAAAGGATTCATGCATAGGTGTAGAGAGTCGATCTGCTGTCTAAATGCTATTGCGTCGAAGAGAGTGACTAAAAATCAGAAGAAAAGGTCTCAGGCGGGCGCATCACGATGCTCAGCAATGAGCGATCGATTGGAGGAGGAGGAGGAGGAGGAGTGAGTAGAGGCTCCACGTGTTGTAGCGTGACCCGCCACTCCACAGTAATGTGATTGGCCACAAAAGTTATTTACAATTCAACAATATTTACATTAAATAGACTGTTGCAATATTCATGTAAATTTGTTTGCAGCCCAAAGCAATATGGGTGTTTCATTTACCACCGAAATTTCCCGAAGGACCCGCTGTGACTCGACAACTAAGCTATGTAAGTTGTTTGAGCTTTGAATCTAATATTTCATTTTAAACTTAAATAAATTATTACAGGCCGACATCAAAAGCAATTTTTTTTGCATGTGATCAACTTTGTATTGGTATAGGTTGGGGAAAAAGTTTCTTCGCATTTTTTAAGAAAATTCACAACATATTTTAATATAGTTTATTTACATTTAACTAAAGTATGTAGGTACCATTTTGCTTGATAACTTTTTGCCACCTTGTAGGTAGGGACATGATCCCATTGCTATAGAAATTTTGGGGCTTCTGATCAAAATACCCCGACAATTAGTTTTGGCAGTCCTCTCGTGATGTTAACCTGACACTGCCTAAAGAATTCTGAAGAGACCGAAACAGGAAAATCAGAAGGTGCAAGGTCGGGACTATACGGCGGATGCATCAACACCTCCCAGCCAAGCTCTCTTAATTTTTGCTGAGTGGCTAAAAATGAAAAACCACACCCCTTCTGTTGATTAATTCCGGCCGCTTTCTCTCAACTTCTTGTTTTAATCTCATCAGTTGTTCGCAGTAGAGTTCAAAATCGATGGTCCTTCCTGGTGGCTCATAATGAATAATGCCCTTCCATCCCACCACACACACAGCATCACCTTGTTGCGAGTTAGCCCGGGTTTCGCCACAGTCTGGGATTTGTATTTGAATTTGTATTTGGAATTATTTTCCTAAAAATGTAAACTTTTAATGATACCAAAACCAGCCAGATACAAATAGTATAGCCAAAGAGATTTTATTACAAGTTCATACATATTATAATGCGAAAATACTTTTTCCCCAACCTATTATTTAGGATCTCTCCTGATAACTTAACTTTACGGTAGGTAGCGACTCCGCTATGCCCCCGCCATTGCTGACATCATCCATTAGCACCACTCACCATCAGGTGGGCCGCTTGCTCGTCTGAATACAAGGGCAATAAAAAATAAAAAATACTTTATNAAAAAAAAAAAAAAAAAAAAAAAAAAAAAAAAAAAAAAAAAAAAAAAAAAAAAAAAAAAATTACCAATGTCTTCAGAAAGTAATTTAGTTCTCTGAAAAAAAACCAGAACTGGGTCATCTTTTATTAATAGACACCAATACGAGGAGACTTTTCTTACGCTATAAATTCAACAAATAATCACGAACAATATTGTTACTTTACTGATTGGCTTCCACTTGACAAATTGCTTGAATCCCGATTGCACTAGATGGGCGGAATATCGCACAGCTCACTCGACGTTAAGCAATCATCAGAGACATTTTTCTTATTGCCTTTGTAGGCAGATGAGCATGCGGCCCACCTGATGGTAAGCGGTTACCGTCGCCCATAGAAGTCCGCAATGCCAGGGGCAAGGCCAAGCCGTTGCCTACTATTGAGTTACTCTCCGCAAGCCTCGTTTGAAGAATCACATGTCATAGCGTTCGGGAAACACCGTGGAGGGGGGTTCATTCCAAAGCCGGATGGTACGTGGCAGAAAAGATCTTTGAAAACGCACGGTCGATATGAACGCAGCGGTTCCAGATAATATGGATGAGCTCTGCTCCGGTGGCGGGAGGTGTGATTGTGAAAAGTGGATGAGGGATCATCGAATCGATCGTTGAGAGCCGGCTACTTCGCCACAGAGATAGGCAGGATGGTGGTGCAGCTCCGTTGTGATGGTAATTGTTTCTTCGCAGAATTATTTGTCGAAACCTGACGCTATAACTCAGCGAGCGATGTTTAACGCGGGTAAGGAATCGTTATAGTTACATTGCCTTGTTAAATTTGGCATCAAAATAATAACCTGCGGCTATTCGCAGAACTCGTTTTTTATAAACAAATAAAGATTAAAATTCCTTTGTAGATACAATAAAATTTACTTTGTATCGTAACCAGAAGCTGCAGGCAACTGGTTTGTTTGTTTGAGTATTTTTATAACATATATTTTTCTCTTTGTAGCTTATGTTTGCAGACGAGCGGGAATTTGAACGCAATCGTCACTTTAGGCTTTTTTTTATCTAACTAGCTTAGAAACTTACATAAATTTTGGACAATAGTAGAGCAATAAGTACTCGTGAGAACGGTTTACGTTACGTCAATAAGATAACTAATAGCGTCGAATGCCCTTCATCTTGATCGTTTACAAAAATATTCAGAAAATCACGTTTGAGTATTTTGCGTTAAAAAACAAAGGCCCTAAGCATTATCCAGTTCATTCTACATTTGATATTAAAATGAAAACAAAGCTAATTTCTGCGCAGGACCAAGCGATCCGTAAAGCTCGGAGGTTGGGGCTGGTATTTCAATATCTACAATTGTTCTCTTTGTTTTAGCCGGAAACGCTTCAACATTTATATTATTATATTATACTAGCTGACCCGGCAGACTTCGTATTGCCTCAATCGATAAATAAAATACCTAAACTTTTGTATAAAATTAACTTAAAACAAACAAAGGGAATCCGTCCGACGGGGGACACATCAAAGGAAAAACAAAATTGTTATTTTTATTTAATTCCGAGCATTTTCATATTTATCTACCTTTTAAACCTTCTCTGGACTTCCGCAAATAATTCAAGACCAAAATTAGCCAAATCGGTCCAGCTGTTCTCGACTTTTAGCGACACTAACGAACAGCAATTCATTTTTATATATATGTATATAGGTTTATATTACTTGATAGAAAACACCGTCAAATAAAATAGTAATATTTTTTATTAATCGATTCATTCATACACAAAACTGACTAAAGTAACAACAAGAGCACGTAACATTAGACATAATAGTGGACTAGAGCTAGACTCTAATATGAAACACTTTTCTTTTTCACAGATGCTACGTACGATTGGGAATATGCAGGTATGTACGTACGTGGATGGGTATGTGCTTGGAGAAAATAATATTTCAGATTTATTCAGGTCGCAGTCGCAGTACGCGACAGCATTAAGCTCCGTGAAGTGCATACGTTGCTTCTTCAACCACTCTGCACATGTATGCCGCGAAGTTGCGCGTTGCGGTTTCGACGGAGATTCCGTAAGGGTACTTCAGAAACGAGTCTTTATTCTCATGTCTCAAGGCGGGTCACATTGCAGTTGTGTTGTCTATTTGCTCTCGTATCCACTTAAAACCAGGCCAGGTAAGTCTGGATACATTTTGTTTGATAAGATGGTAAACGGGAAATTTATTACGTTACTGGAACATTACATCTAGTGTTAGTTAACGCACAATAAATGACTAAAGTTATTTAACTTGACTTAGAAAGCTTTTATATGAATTTCATAATTTGTTGAATCGCTCTTATAAACTTGTTAATGTCTTTTGTTTGTGACACAGTGATACATTCTGAGGAACAAGTTACTTTTAACCTTGAAACTTAATCGTAAATCAGACATCATTATGAAAGTAAGCGAGAATTAGTTATCTATATGTATACCTAGTCAGGTCATAAATTCTGTCACATGTTTAATGTAAAATAATTGAAACAAGTTTATTCATTATGTAACCATTCATATACCAAAATGAACTTAACATAACATAGATTCTTATGACACTAAAGTTTATTCAAAATGACCTCTGTGATTTTGAATACAGGCCTTCAATCTGCGCGGCCAGTCGTCTATCGCAGCACGAACGAGGTCCATGTCAATATCGGCGGCTGCCTTAATCAAGGATGTCTTGAGTGACTCCAAATTGGGATGAGGTTTTGAGCACGCCTTTTCCTCCAAGTGTTGCCATATCTTGTAATCTAACGGATTCAAATCTGGACTGGAGGAGGGCCAGTCTTCGTGCCGGATGAAGTCGATTTCACGCGCCGCCAGCCAGTCTTGTGTGCTCTTCGCTCTATGAGCTGGCGCCGAATCTTGTTGGAATACCCAGTGCCTGTTATTGAACATGGTATGAGAAACAGGTTCCACAAGGTTCGTCAGGACTGTATTTTGATACACAACTGCATTCGTTTTTACACCTTTCTCACAAAAATGTACCTCTGTTAAGCCCCAATAAGAAACTCCCAACCATACCATGAGCGAGGATGGAAAATGACCTCGTTGGACACGCGGAATACGGTTGCTCGCTTCTTCACTACTGTGTGCGTACACCTTATCATTTTGTTTGTTGTAGCTCTCTTCTACGGTAAAAATTTTTTCATCCGAAAAAAGAATTTCCCGATATTTTTTTCCCGCGTACCGCTTCAACAAAGCGCGGCATCTCTTCAGTCTCAGGTCCATTAGACGAGCATTCAAACGATGTCCTGTTTTTCTTCGATATGCCCGAAGCCCTAAGTCTTCATTTAACACCCTTTTCACCGTGGTTCTGCTTAACCCCATCTGAAGGGCCAACAGTTTCTGCTTACGTTTGGGATTTCTTTGAATTCGCGCCTTCACAGCTTTTATCACTGCTGGAGTCCTAACAGACCGAGGGCGACCACTTCTTGACCTGTCATCTACACTAGAGTCTTCATTGTATCGTTTGATGGTACGATAAACGAATCTTTTGGTTATATTCAAATTTTTCAGTATGTTAAAAATTTGAATTGGCGCGTAACCGCAACGATGCAACGCAATAACTGCAACACGGTCTTCTTTAAGCGTCCACTCCATATTTAAAAATGAGTAAAATTCTAAAAGTATACATTTTTATTTTCATGAACAATTCGAAATTCGAATTCAATAAACTTTTTTGTGGCCAGCATTCTAAAAGAAAAGTTTTTACTGTGTGACAATACTTATGACCTGACTAGTTATATATAAAAATGAATTGCTGTTCGTTAGTCTCACTAAAACTCGAGAACGGCTGAACCGATTTCGCTAATTTTGATCTTAAATTAATTGTGAAAGTCCAGAGAAGGTTTAAAAGGTAGATAAATATGAAAGTGCTTGAAATTGAATAAAAATTACAATTTTGTTTTTCCTTTGATGTGTCCTCTGTCGGATGGATTCCTTTTGTTTGTTTTAAATTTATTTTATACAAAAGTTTAGGTATTTTATTTATCGATTGAGGCACTACGAAGTCTGTCGGGTCAGTTAGTGTATTATAAAATAGTATTAGGTGTTCATCTACGAAATTGCTGCTCAGTTTACAATAAGTTAGTTGTTTTTTTTATTAAATTTTATTATTTGTATCCTGTCGAGTCCTCTGTCAGCGTAGTGGTAATTTTTCAAAGCCCTTAATGAAGAAGTCAAGTATACGGGATCCAAAAACTCTTCAAAGGAATTTTGTATTGCCTCTTGTGTATTGATTTTTTTCCCTGGCAAGAAACGGTCCAAACTTAAATAGAAGTAGAAAAAGAAAAAGTAGAAGTGGATGACGAAAAACATCCAACCGTGGCTCGCGCTGCTTAAAGATAATGTATTGAGTGTTGTCACGTAGGAGAAGCGGATACGAGCGGCTTGCCAATGCTGTCTGGAGATTCGCAAGCTCTCTATCATTGTGTTCTCACCATACTCATCCGCAGTAAATCTAGTGCCATTTGGTAAGAAGCTGTGATCAATTATACCACCACTAGAGCAGCAAATAGTAACCATAACTTTTTTGGGGGTGAGTTTTCGTTTAGGGTGCGGAGCCTAGGCATTCAATTCGGATCTAACCAATATGATGAATTGCAATTAATTATCAAAAATAATCAATTTTTCATTGTAAGTGATAGCATAGTTCAAAATTCCATTGTGTCTGCATCTGTTAAGCGGCACAAGGCACACCCTAACGAATAACACGTCCGTCGCGCTGGTGATCGTTCACTTCATGCGGCACACACCTATCAACTTTTTTTTTAATATACCAATTTGACACAAATGAACCAACAATGTTTTGATACTAACCTTGAAAGTTGCTGCTAACTAGGCGGTAGATGGATTTGCCGTTGTTAGCTTTAGGTATTTTTGGGCGACCACGGCTTTCATATTTTTTTTATAAAAATTTCCACGTCGGAAGCTTTCATCGTGACCTCAATGCTGATTAGATTATAAATGTAGTAAAAAGAAAATACTAGTCAATAAACAAATGATTGAATTTTAAACTAAGATTTATATATTTTTTAACTAAAAGTCATTTGAATTTAGAATTGATCATCAGCCATACATCAGTTTTAAATGGGCAGTATTATAAAAACGGCAACTTCATAGATAAAGACCTATTACTATCACTCGTAGAATATTATTTATGAAAATGCACTCTGCGTGAAGGCTATGGTTTCAAGTAGTACTTTAGTTTTCTTCAGCACAACCACCATCACCGCTTTTAATAGTGACGACACGTTTTATTTTCTAATGTCCATATTGATGAGATTTGATGAATTTATTACAGAATTGATTACAAGCTCTTAACAAACGATGAATTTTATTTTTAGAACAAAACAATTGGTGGAAGAAGTACCCTCAATGCGGTGGTAGATCCCAGTCTCCAGTCGACATACCAGTTAAAGGACTAATAAAGGCGCGGAGAGGCCGACCGCTGCTCTTTTGCAACTACGATGTGTCACCCGAAAATATGACATTAATTAAAGACGGAAGGAGAGGCTAGTTTCGCAAATATTTTTCTTCCGGTGAAGGTCCTGCCCAGGTGTCGTCGGGTTGAGCTGCACATCCAGTTGCAGTGTTGACCGCAGTAACTACCTTATCTCTATGGACTACGTCTCTTGGACGAGGATCGAACACTTGAGCGCTTTAGACGCACATAAAGCACATAGAAAAAGCACATAAGTCGGTCCTCTCGAGGGGCGGGTTGACTCAGTGCCTACACTTAGATTTAAAATTATTATAAGAGTTTGATCATATAAAATGAGGTGTAATAAGATCTCCTGTTTCCCACCTTATCATAAGATAGTAAGCTAACTTTTGTTTGTACTGTAGGTAGACACGATTTAAGCTGCTTTTCAACCGAATAAAAAAGGAGACTATCAATTCGACACTGATGTGTCATTACGTACACGTGTAATATTATTGGAAAAGCATTAAATTGCCATAACTTCAAAACAAATTTACCAAATAACAATAGGGGTATTTGTGATAATACAAGTTTTATCAAAATCCAAAATAGGAGCACAGATTTGTTTTGGAGGTCGGTCCCCGTCTAGGGGTGTTATCTGCGAGCGGTATAAAATGTTAAGGCGACTAGTGTTGTTCATGTCGCCGCGGCGCCGCGCCGCGCCGCGCCGCGCCGTGCTTAAAATGTAATTGGCGATATGTTTTGTTTTGGTAATAAAGAAAGGGCTATTATATACATATTTTGAACAATTCACATTGTCTACGAGTTACGCAGTGCCAGCGGTGTAAGCTTGCACTCTACTTATCTTCTAAGCGTTTTGCACTATTAGATAACATCATTTTTATTTATTTAAAATGAGATTTTTTTAAGAGGTTTTGCAAAATCAAGTCTTATTTGATAGAACAGTTAAGGATAACTGTAAAATTAATCGAGCTGGTCGGAGGCCAGGCGAAACTGGTTTTGCTCATGTTGGTCGCAATGGCTCAGTCTGCGATTACAATATATCGATATTTCAAGATCGAGTTTTCGGTTGATTTTTTATTCAATTCGCTGCGGAAACAACGAAACTGATATTTCATGTCTACCTACAATTAGCATGTTATTGAGATATTCCGATTCGACGCGAACCCTCGGAACGTAAATAAAACCAATAAGGTTTTGATATACACTACGTTTTGTGTTTCAATCCGATGATCGAACGTGGATTTCCATTTAAATCGCAGTGACCCTCACGGGATTCTGGGATCCGAAACATCGTCCGTTATTACACGGCGGCGCAGCTCACAGCCATCGCTACGTGTTCTATTCGCTATCCCTTCACTGGCCCTCTGAACACACAATAGGGAACCTGCAATACCCGTTGGAGAGCCAAGCTCTCCATATATCGGCGGAGTACAACACGCTTGATGAAGCCGTTGCCGCGTCTAGGCGGGACCCATTGGCGATGCTCGGAATAGCCAATTTATATAAGGTAAGCAACTCATGTTTTAACTTATTATGTAATGTTTTGCCATGGTACTTTTTGCGTGTTGCGCTAATGGCTTGTACTTTTAATCTGAGCATGTGTGTGTTGGAGTCGTAGAGTAGTCGAATGGTACGTGGCGAAAATGTTATCTGGACATACGGTAACGAAGACCGCGAGTGCTCGACTGTTGTTTTTAAATCAATAATACACCGGGTGTGGGAGATCAAATATCTATAAAATGACAGTTATTATTTTAATGGTTTGACGGATGAACGAGTTCACATCTCTCCTGGAACGTAGTGGTTGCCAGAGTCAATAGCATGACACCCCAATATAAATCCACCATGACACTTGGCGCGTATCGGGTAGCAATAACAAAACACAACAGAGACGTTTATGCCTCAATTGTGTAGTAATATGAAGTCGTCGTGGCCTAAAGGATACGACGTCTTGTGCATTCGTATGTAGCGACGCACCGGTGTTCGAACCCCGCAGGCGGGTACCAATTTTTCTAGTAAAATACGTACTTAACAAATGTTCACGATTGACTTTCACGGTTAAAGAATAACAACGTGCAATAAAAATGAAACCCGCAAAAATATAATTTGCGTAATTACTGGTGGTGGACTTCTTGCGAATCTGCACGGGTCCACCATCCTGCCTATTTCTGCCGTGAAGCAATAATGCGTTTCGGTTTGAATGGAGGGCAGCCGTTATACTGTAAAAACTGAGACCTTAGAACTCATATGTCAAGGTGGGTGGCTGCATTTACGTTGTAGATGTCTATGGGCTTCGGTAACCACTTAACATTAGGCGTGCTGTCAGCTCATCCAACCATCTAAGCAAACAAAAAAGTAATGACGCAAATTATACTTTTTGCGGGTTTGATTATTTATTGGAAAATGCTTTTTCTTCATCATAGAAGTAATCCGTGATCGTGAGCTCAATAGCTCAATAAAAATTTAATTACAAATTATTTACTGTCTCCGACAACAACCCTCCAGGGCATCACGACTTCAAAATTAATAATGGTAATGACTTCTAGAGCTGACCTTGAAGGGCTCTTAGTAAAATTATCAAGCGTTGAGTCCGTTCGATTTGTTTTACGGATAATACTCATATTGTTCGCTACTTTTTATTTATTTATTGCTTAGATGGGTGAACGAGCTCACAGCCCACCTGGTATTAAGTGGTTACTGGAGTCCATAGACGTCTACAACGTAAATGCGCCACCCACCTCGAGATATAAGTTCTAAGGTCTCAGTATAGTTACAACGGCTGCCCCACCCTTCAAACCGAAACGCATTACGCAAACGCAACTTCACGGCAGAAATAGACAGGGCGGTGGTACCTACCCGTGCGGACTCACAAGAGGTCCTTCCACCAGTAATTACCCAAATTATAATTTTGCAGGTTTGATTTTTATTACACGACGTTATTCCTTCACTGTGGAAGTCAATGGTGAACATTTGTTAAGTACGTATTTCATTAGAAAAATTGGTACCCGCCTGCGGGATTCGAACACCGTTGCATCGCTACATACGAATGCACCGGACATCTTATCCTTTAGGCCACGACGACTACTTAAACTGCTATAATTGTTCTAATGCCACATGTGGCGGCTGGGATGAATCCGGGCTTGCTTCGAGTTTTCAGCTGGATAATCCTTTACTTGATAACCGTAAAAGCTTTGTAACCGTATTTTCTAGATTCAATTATCAGGACCCGTTGAGAGTTATAGCCTAAGTTTCTTTCAATGCACGTATACTATAAGCAGTATATCACATTCCAGACATTTCATAAATCAGTAGCTATGGGAATTTCATCATTTATTATACGAAATTTTTTAATGTTTTTTATCAAAGATTGATATTGTACATTTTACCTAAGTTATTATTTTAATACTTTTTTGGTTTGTAAGTACTGAGACCGGATCAAATTTGTCACGTGTTTCTATTTAATCTTTGTTTTTTTTTCACTTTAAGAAATTATTTTCCGAGTATCTTACCATATTATTCAAGGCTTTAGTAATATAGTTGAAATCTTCGTGGGCTGGATAAGACGTAGGGTGTGCTCGTGCCCAAGTGATGCGACCATACCATTAGACCTATCGACTCTACACAAGATAACAATATTGGCGCAAATTATTGTTATTTTTACTGGTGGTAGGACCTCTTGTGAGTCCGCACGGGTAGGTAACACCACCCTACCTATTTCTGCCGTGAAACAGTAATGCGTTTCGGTTTGAAGGGTGGGGCAGCCGTTGTAACTATACTGGGACCTTAGATCTCATATTTCAAGGTAGGAGGCGGCATTTACGTTATAGATGTGTCTGGGCTCTGGTAACCGCTTAACACCAGGTGGGCTGTGAGCTCGTCCAACCAACTAAGCAATAAAAAAATTATATATTATAATTGATTTTTTAGTTTGCCAACAAAACACAGAAGGGACTCAAGATATTAATCGAAGCAGCGTCGCGGGTGACTTTGAAACGCAAAGGGTTGCCGACGAAGCCTTTGAGCTACTTCAATCCGCCCTTCAAGGAATATTCGTGTTACCACGGCTCTCTGACCGCGCCTCCGTGTACGGAAGCGGTGCTGTGGTTCGTCAGAGCGAAGGCTTTACCCGTTCAAAGAGTAAGAGCTTAAACGAGAATCCAATATTTATTTACGCTATTTATATTTCCTCACTCCGCTTTGTACAAAACAGGAAAAAAGCTTAAAGAAATACGGATTTAGTTTTCGTGCACAAAGGCAGCCTAGCCCACTGATAATGTTCAGTAGATGTTCAGTAGCTACTACCGAGGTTACGGAAGCCCGTAGACACTGACTTGCACTTTAACATACCAACAGTTTTGACATTGGTAACCCAACTAATTGAAATGTTAACTTATTATTCTTGCTTTTTTACTACAATCGGCATGTTAATTATTAGGCGGCTAATTATTTGGAAATTTATTTTTATTTCTTAACAGGAAGCAGTTGAGTCCATACGTCAAATCCTGATTTCTGATGAAAAGAGAAAATCGTATTCCCGCCAACCACAGCCTTTGAATGACAGAAAAGTGTACTTCTTCAATTAAAAGTATTTGTACATGGACAATAACATTGTCTTTCATTTACTATAAACTAAATATGCTGTTTATTTGCTGATATACTGGCAATGGCTTAGATAGTATGTATCTCCATGAAGTCTTCAAATTGATTCTATAAGAATTGCATCTACATTGTCGAGAAACCTGATATCATACCTACGGTTTGCACGGCAATGTGTATTTCGTAGGAAGTGTACTGAAGTATTAACGGATCCTCAGGGTGGCGGCGACAATTGAGACACTTTACATCCACACGAAATAATATATTCACTTTAGTACACGTTACGGCGGGTAGAATACGAATGCAACAGAGATATGCTAACCGTCGGTATTTATACAATCATCTTGACCTATTTTAATACAAACTTAGTAGGTAATATTTAAACATTGTTCATCTTAATTATTCTGCTGATTATTTACGTACAATTATTAATTAATAATATCGAATTATGTAACATAAATAACATTAAGGCTTATTGCGACGTAAGGTTTATTGCGCCGGAACCTGTCAAGCGGAAGGCGCCAATAAAATATTATAAGTATAAAGAAATATGAATGAACTTGTTTCGTACTGAAACAGATTTTCGTGTTTCTATATTTTTATTAATATCGAGTATTAGGCAATACATCTTCAAGACAACACAAATCTTAACCTAGGTGCAGTAAGGTTCGATCTCGCCTGTGGACGGCCGACTAGCCAACCAGAAGCTTGCTGAGCAACCCCTCCAAGCCTACGGGCAGAGGTCGCCGTCGTATAGTAACTTAACACACGCGTTCCGCGGCAGACATTCTTTTATTACAAACAACAAAAATTACCCAACGCAAGTCACGCGTAACCATTAGAACCAGCGACAATTGTTCATCGTGTACCAGTCAAGAGACAGACGGTCCCACCTCCGGAAACGACGCTGAGCCCAGGGAGCGCGAGGCAGTGGAAGGAAGGTGAACCGGTAAGTCTTCAGACATATTTCGTTCCTTACTGTACAGAACTATTTACTTGATTATGAAATTACTAATTATATTATAAGACAATAATAAGTTCTATATATTTCCTAGTTCGTAAATAATTTATTATGCGAGGCCGGAAGTGTTACTCGATAACAGAAGCGATGTTTCAGATGAACTGTTACGCGCTGGAGTTCGGGATAAATAAAATTCCACCGAAGTATAACTTAAAATTGTATCCAACACTTGAATAATTTAAAACTGTATTCAACACTTAGAATTCGCTTTTTCCGCTTCACTTCAGGTGATCCGTTCGCTGTTTCGCTTCGAGTAGTTCCGATTAATAATTGACTGTGTGTCATCTCTGCAACGCTTTTATAGCCGATACCACATCCCTAGAAGTATCGAGAATATTCCACACATTTCGAGTATTGTGTTTCCGCTATCTGACAATAGATGGCGTTGTACTTCTCGAGCTTTCTAGATGCTATTAGATACTTCGACATTCGTTCGACTATTCGGCGATAGGTGGCGTTACTCTTACCGGCGTAACAATACCTTTATCAAGATCAACTCCCAGCTTGCCATTCGAGCATAAATTATCTATAATATCTGATAATGGCGTATTTATAAATAAATATAAATAAATAAATAAATATATATTTACTAACAATCACGCCACGTTAACTGGTCCCGTGATAAGTTCGTAAAGAACTTGTGTTACAGGTACCAGATAACGGAAATAAATGTAAGATTTTTATTATACACATACCTACATATTTAATATACATCCATAACCCTGGAAAAGACATTTATATTTATCATACAAATATTTTCCCTTGGCGGGATTCGAACCCGCAACCCCCTTGTGTAGTGACCATGTCACTTACCACTACACCAGACGGCCGTTTATGAGTTTTCAGTCAACATTTTTGCTGCATGTTAAACGACTTTGTAGTAAGCTCTTCTGCGCGGTGTTTCCTGAGCGCTATCACATACTTACCTTCAGGCGAGGTTTGAAAAAAACTGGCCGCAGGCAAGGACTCGACTATACCGTACAGTCGATGAACATGAGTGACGATAACCACTTACTGTTAAAATAGTCTTAAGCTCATCTATCTGTCCACGATGATAAAAAGCAAGTCTGGATAACATTGAGTTTACTAATGGCGGATTTATTTTCACATACGTATAGGTACCTCATTTCTAATTATTTCTATTGAAGTATGTAGTTGCTGGATTCCACGAGCACTACAGCTGTATGACATGTGATACAAGGGACATTTAATTTTGTCAATGCCGATAGTAAGCGTACACTATTACCAGCGGTTACCGAAATTTATACATTTTGTTGATTTTTATTATTGGCTATCGTGAATCATCTAAGGTCAGGTGGGCCGTGAGCACCTGTTCCCAACAACTAAAGTAAAAGTACATACTGTATGATGACCAATATTTACATTTAGTACATTCTGAAGTCGTCGTGGCCGAAAGGATAAGACGTCCGGTACATTCGTATCTAGCGATGCAACGGTGTTTGAATCCTGCAGGCGGGTACCAATTTTTCTAATGAAATACGTACTTAACAAATGTTCACGATTGACTTCCACGGTGAAGGAATAACATTGAGTAGATAATAAAAATCAAACCCTCAAAATTATAATTTGCGTAATTACTGGTGGTAGGATGTCTTTTGAGTCCAAACGGGTAGGTACTACCACCCAGCCTATTTCTGCCATGAAGCAGTAATGCGTTTCGGTTTGAAGGGTGGGCAAACCGTTGTAACTACTAAGACCTTAGAACTCATATCTCAAGGCGGGTGGCGGCACTTACGTTGTAGATGTCTGTGGGATCCAGTTACTACTTAATACCAGGTGGGCTGTGAGCTTGTCCACCCATATAAGCTATAAAAAATGAATCATTAAAAATATTAAAAAAATATTTTAATAATTAAAACAATACAACCGGTTTAGGGATAGGCTTTAACCGTGTGTGTTGCTGTGAACTAGGCTAATGGGTCACCGTGCGACCGACGGGCGACGGGGAAATGACACGTTCAATGATAGGTCGTCAGTAGGTATTCTATCGATTCCTTTCTTATATTAAATTAATGCAATCTAATCGTCCCGAGGACTACTGGCCTGTTATCATTTTTAAGGTACTATTGCACCAAAACTCGCAGTAGACATCGGCTTGAATGTGCCCCTGGCATCGCTGATGTTTATGAGCGACTGTAACTGCTTACCATCAGACGGGCCATACGCTCGTCTGTCTACAAAAATAATAAAAGCATAAATGAAAAAGACCAGTTGGTTCTATTACTACATACGTTTGTATTACGCAGCGACGAAGTTATTTAGTATTCGATCACCAAATCTCATGTGATTGTATTTTAAAAATCGACTTAAAAAGTATTTGAAAAGCTATGAATACTTCGTTTTCTGTCTTATGCGTAAAATCCCGGGTTGAGGTAACTAATAGTTAAGCAACATAATTCTGTAAAGTTGTTTTTGAAGTCAAAAATAATATTATTATGAATAGTTGTGACGAACTGCAAGTGTACCTACAGCCACTGGCGACTACATTCTACACAGTTACAGTAGAGCACAGGCAGAGAGACTGGCAATCTGTAACTAGCTGTGCTATTACAAAAGTTAAATGAATGGCACGTTTGAAATTGGAGACTAATTATTATTATATTTAGTTAAAAGATATGTTTTTAAGAGAGAGTTAAGAGTTAAAATGCTTTTAACGCGGCGCCGCGGCGCTCGGAACCCTTTTGGGGGCTTTTTCTATTTGGATTTGGTGCCTCACACATTCACGACTAATTACCTAAATTGTTTTTATTATACAAGCTGCATCAGTGAAAAAGTTCCTTATGACGCGACGTAGTCTCTTCCTGTCAAAGGCATGCTTGCTCTATCTAGTATCTTATCGCGTTCGTTTCGTGATCCATCGATAAATTTGACACTGAACTCTACGACAGCGAAATATAATAATCACTAATCCCAATGGACGCACATGATAGATTGACGGGCTAATGTAAAGGACTAAGTTCACTTATGATAGATTACAATGTTTTTAAGGAGAGTGCGTGCGCTCATTTCCCAGACATTACGAGCTGCTTTGTCCTTACTTCGTTATGTTGTCATACCTGTGTGAACCAGACTACGACCGGAATCGTGAGTATTAATTGTTAAATGGATAATGAATAAAAATGCTAAAAAGCTCCCGAGCTCTCAAAATGATGAGAAAGGTATCCTCCTCCTAAGTATTCCTCAATGCTAAGGGTCATGACCATCTTCGGTATTTCTTTCTCTCGCAGGATCTTTCTTCATTTGTTTTTGTCTCTGACGGCGTTGAAGGCGAAATGTGTAATCAAGAGTGGTGCGGATCTGGTTGGACCAACTTATTGGACTGCAAGCCCGAAATCTTTTTCAATCCACATTACAACACTACAAAATTGAGACGTTAGTTCGAAATACTGTCTACTAATACGGAGCATCTTTCTTCGGCACCAGAGCTCAAAGGCGTCAATGCGTTTACGGTCTGAAGCTTTGAATGATCAAATCGAATGAGCCATTGTTACTGATGTTGTAGTTATCTACTATTTCTAGGTTTAATGCGTCAGTGAGTTCTAACTCTCCAGACATATCTACCACCATGACCGTGGCTTTGGAAAGCCCCATCTCCTTGCTCATCTGCTCCATTCGATCTAAATTTACTACAAGAAGAGTAATATCATCGGCATAACGCAGGCTGGAGATTTTCAAGAAATAGGAAGGGTGATGGTACCTACCCGTGCGAACTCACAAGAGGTCCTATCCTACCACCAGTAATTACACAAATCATAATTTTGCGGGTTTGATTTTTATCACACGATGTTATTCCTTCACCGTGGAAGTCAATCGTGAACATTTGTTAAGTACGTATTTCATTAGAAAAATTGGTACCCGCCTGAGATTCGAACACCGGTGTATCGCTCAACACGTATGCAACGGACGTCTTATACTTTAGGCCACGACGACTTAATTCTGGCATCTTACGAATAATGGCAGTTCCGTCTGATTATGTGCTCTCCATGGGTGTTGCAGAGAAGAGGCAATAAAATGCAACCTTGGCTTACTCCTTAGCGAAATTTAAAAGGCTTTGAAGTTGTCTCATCGACTCTTACGGCTGGCTTGAGGCATATATGTTACGAAGTAGGGCCATGAGATGATTTGGCAGCCCCAAACTTTTGTAGAACTTCCCACTCCAACTCCAGTTGACACATTCGAATGCTTTCTTACAGTAAACGTCACGTATCATCACTGACGTATCCAAGTCGTACGAGAAAGATAAATGTGGTCTAAAACTGAGAACTAATTTATTTCAGCAATACTGCACTGTATCAGACATATAGCCAGACTCACCTTAATACCTGCAGCCAACGACTCCACGACAACCACACCTGACGATGAAGACACGCCCACTACGGTTGGTGATCATCCCTGAATACGCCAGGCCTGAAAACTCATTAAAGTAGTACATATTGTCAGTGATAACGATGAATGATGAAAGACACCTGTAACTCGGATGTGTCATAGTGAGTTCAGTTCGGTACCGGTGAGCAGTGAGATTATTTACTGATTTATATACTAAATAAATAAAGTTCTGAGCCCATTCGGCTGACACCATTGCTCTTTCTATTTCGGCCGTGAAACGTTGCAGTCTGAAGGCTGATGCCTCAAAACGGTCTCACGATTGGGTGATAATATTCATTCAAAATAGATTATACAAAAGTTACTTAATGTTTACTAGTTTATAGAATTAAATACATATTTATTATTTCACAGAAATCTGGATATGGATTATACGGAAACAGAAATAATGCGATTTTTATAACAAAAAAAAAAGAAATGTAATGAAATATAATTTGGGTAAGTTTATATTGTGTTTCCTGGAGTGGTGCCGTTGGGTGCTCTGCTGAAAGGAATCTCCTTGTTTTAATGTTATTGTGAATCCCATATTATCACTCAAAGTGAACGTCCCCAATATCTTTCTAGACTTCAATTACCTCTTAGTACGAGCCGACCTTGTGTCCCTATATTTATTTCTCCCTCCGATTGTTTTTTCCTCTCTTCATCTCACCATTTATCTCTGCTGTCACACACTGCTTACAGAGTGGTTATAGTACTGATGGTGCTTAGGGTTCGTAAGTTACTTCCTAGCTACCGCAGCTGTTGCGATTTTGGGACACCTTCCTGGGACCTGCAAGCGCAGGCACTCGCTGCGGATTACGCGTGGCGATCCGATCTCCGCTCCAGGTGTGAGCCGCGTCCCGGCATAGCGGAGGTTTGAGCGCGAAAGCTTAAATCTCGGCGTGCCGTCCTCGAGGCGTGGTCTCGCCACCTGGCGAACCCCGTCAACGGGCGACGGACCATTGTGGCGATCTGCCCGGTCTTCTCGGACTGGGTGAATCGCGACCGAAGATGTCTCGCCTTCCAAGCGACGCAGCTGCACTGCACTTTGTCGCCCGGATGCCAAAGTACCATCACTGCAGTGGCTGTAATGAGCACATGGTGGAACACACACTCGCGTACTGCCCTGCTTTCGTGGAGCAGCGCTGCCTCCTCGTTGCATAAATAGGACCGGACTTTTCACTTCCGACTGACTGAGGAGGGCGTTCGTCCAGCTCCACCCTTTGTGAGGAGGCAGTCGGTGATGGTCACGGGGCGACCTGAGGGGGTTGAGGCTGCACTGCACGCTACCGTTACTCTAGTGAGCTGGCACCAGGAGAATGGGACAACGCATCGGCGGCTACGACCTGCGATGCGGTCCGCGTTGTCGTCGTCGCTGGCATCGCAGAACATGCTGCGGAAGAGCAATTCGGTCGGCAGTATATCGCGTTCCGACCCGGCAGGCTGGTTCTGACCCAGCAGGGTATCCCGGAACACCAGCGGCATCGCCTGTACCGCGGAGACCGCCGTTTTTGGTCGTCGACTATCGCCTCGACGACCGGGGTCGGGCGTCCTCGGGGTGGCGCCGCGAGTCTGTTTGTACTGTTGACTGTAAGAACCCGCCTACTCTGACCGGGTTTTGACTCCGGACGGAGACCGGACGTTGGGCTTAAGAGTGCAAGGGAGTCGCTTAGTGCGGTAGGGCCCTAAAAACACCCTTGGCCTCGCGGTTCGCAGTCGCGGGCCAATTCCACATACCACGCGCGCCCTCAGGCGCGGGGACCTTGTAGGAGGATCGGCCACCACCCGGAAAAAATAATAATCAAGGAGTAACTTATCCTAACATAAAGCCACCTTGAAATATCGATGAACTCCAGGAAAATTATCCGAGTAAGTTCAGCTCGATGAGCGCAATAGTTTCAGGAAAAGGGCACGGAGTCGTATACAGAATAATATTATTCTTTACTACTAATTTACGTAATACATAACATATTTTAGTTGACGAAGCAAATAATATCCGCAAAGAATCTATATCTATTAGGTTTATCTAATCTCACCCGAAAATACTTAGTATCGAAAAACATTTCTTACACAATAAGGAAGTCAAACACATCGAACGCAGGTCTATTCAATTTTAAAATTGCTATTATATTATATAATATTCACGATCAGATGGACAACAGGACAGTGAAAATCGATCCAAAGTTTCTTAGCGCTCAACCGAAGAAAACTTCTTCTGATGGTAAAATATTATATTTTTGTTTTTTTAACCGTGTTAGCGAAGTTGATCTTTGAACTCGCAATGTTTCGTTAATATTCTTGCTTGTAATATTTTGTTAACACGACATGTAAGGGAACTTTTCGGGAAAACAAGGTTGGTAATTAGTGTATGTGATTATTTATTTATAAAAAAAAGAAAAGTTATGATTTAAATAATAACTAATATATTTTTTATGAACATAACAAATTAGAAGACGCCCCGGGGTAGCTACACGCAGGTGGCTCACGTAACATAAGCTTACAGCTCTTTTATTTGTAGCTTAGCAATATCTATTTTACGGATAATCCATGGTGAATCCTTTTTTGGATCACAAGGCAATCAGATCAGAACTGGACGCCCGCGCGTCAAAGGCTAGCGACGGGGCACTTCGTACTGAAACGAATTAAAACTCTTTGCCGCGTCAACAATCCGCGTCCGACATTCGCACGAGCGGTGGCGATGGGCCGCTGCCAAGTCCATCGCTTCTCAGCACCCTTCTTCTTTTAATACCAAGTCATTGGTCGTTAGCGAAAACTACGACGACCGGACTTCTCGGTCCACTGTCCGAACGAACTATTCAAGAGTACGAGCCATGAGGGCACCCCCAACATGAACCGGTGGATAAGCCGCGCCAGTATCTACTATCGTCCCACTTACTTCCGCAGTGAAGCAGTTCTGCGTACCGATCTGAAGGGTGGAGCAACTGATATACTAGCTAAATACCTAAAACCTCGAACTCGCGTCTCACAATTAGTGGCGGCATTAATATCCGTGGGACCGGTGGCTCTCGCCTATCTAAGCAAAACAAACATACGGACAAGCGGATATTACAAGGGATTCTTTTATTTGTTTCGCTGCAGTATTAACCGCATTAAAATCAGCCAAAAACATTCAGCCATTTAATACAGATATACACATCTCACCTGATATAAATTGAATAGTAGTAATGTTAAAAATAGATTTCCACACCGGAACACTGGTTGATTAAATAGCTTAGTTTCATCAGTTAATATTAAACAAGATATTGACAAAAGTTAACACTCGACTTAACAACAATACATGTTTTGGAGTCCGGATTCGTTCATGTGGATACCTGATATGTTTTGTATTGTTTATTCGAGTGTAATTACAATAGAGAAATCAATGAATTGAACATGGGAAGTTTAGTTTACATTATACTATATTTGTTTGTTTAGAAAACAGTTTTATAGTTATATCTCGCGTTTATTTAATGACTATCATTTGTATTCACTGTGCAATTATATCATCATGAAGATAGCCTGTAGAGCAAGTGAAGCATAAATATACCTATGCTGAGCTCATGTCTCATTCGGCATTCCCGTCGTTATGTCTATGAGGTCTGAAAAACACTTGGCATCAAACACAAAAAAGATCGATCATTTGGGATACAGCAATCACATAATTTTCAATTTTATTTCTTTAATTTCATTTATATTTGCAGATAACACTTCCGTAACAGTTTTATATTAAGGCTACATGCCCATAGAAGATAAATATAACTTTGAAACATGTTTACAAAATTGTTATCATAATTTATAAGTCCCGTGCGCGATAATTTGATTGTTGTGTTCTATCCGCATTTGTGAGGGACGGGCTCACAATACCTGCGGTATCACTTACCACGACGTGAATAAAACCGCTCACCCTAAGACTTTTGAAGGTCGAAGTCCTAATGGTATTGTTACAATAACACGTAACTACTGCCCTGCTTTTAAAGTCGGGACGAATAATTACTTTGCGGCAGTGGTACTGGCACGCGCCAAAGGGGAATGCCCATTTCAGGCCCAACGCGGACAATAGATTAGAGAAAAAATACTTAGTGAGTGAAAAATACTTAGATATCTAATACATTTAAGAATTGGAATCAGTCCATTTTTATAGTAATATTTGATGTCCACCTTGGGCCTAGCACACTATGGAGAGTGGGCATTCCCCAAAGTCACTTGCTTGAAATGCCGTTTGGAATATTCGACTTAAAAAGTTAAAATCACGACCTCAGTATGGAGCTGATATCAAGTTTTACTACAACACTGTATTGATACCGTCCATAATTATAATAAATATGATATAATGTAAATTTGTTTTCCGTAATGAAGGCTCGGTGTTCGTATTATTCATTAATCGTGCGTGGAACAAACCCCAATGAGAAATTATTGTTCGTGCGGACCATCAATCACAGTTCGGTAGCGGACGTGATTATATCGCCACATCGCCACGTCGCCATATCGCTTTAAGCGGTTAAGCGAGCGTTCACTAATTATTATCGTTTCGATAACATGCAGTGATGTATTTAAAAAAGTTTATTTTGACTGCTTAGTGACTAATTTTATAAAATAAAAACCATATCTATGAAATCTAAGAATATGCATTTACATTAGTGTGATTTTCGAGTTTACTGGTGGCCCGGAGGCCTTTCCAGTTTTCCAGGACTAATGGGTGAGCAAGGGCTCGGCCAGGAGGGGTGGGATTTGCTAATAGCTACCCGAGTGCCTCCAAAGAAGATCTAACAAGTCATGAGCTTTGCGAATGAATCTAGAACCGGATCGGAATCGCGACCCGCTGACAAGATTCGGAGAGAGACTCAGCGAGCTGATGTTAAGGTTAGGTTGCACGTCGAACTATTTGTTTAGTTCGACGTGCTAATCGGGCGGTAAGTCGTCGGATGATTTTTTGGTTTACCGAGTTTATGTATGCCGATAACGTCCGCTTCTTTCCACACCGCGGGAAAGATGCAGATCGTTATAGCGGCACTGAAAATAGATGCCAACATCATGATGAGTTGGACGGGTAGAAGTTTAATAACGTGGTAAGAAATACCGCCTGAACCGGGAATCATAACCTAGACCTTGCTGTCTACTAATTCTAGAGCAAGGTCCGCGGGTTTGCTATGAGTCAGCCAGCACTTCTGCTTTTTCGTCATCATCGAACGCCGCGAGTCGGCCTGAGGGGCCAACGAGGGGACCATAGTTACTACCGTATCTGATTTAAGAGTTCGAGGTAAGCGGTAGTACACCGTTGGGAGGGCGCGAGTCCTTCCAAGAAATCAGGCATCTCGGACTTCAGCGATCCGAGACTTTACGTCGCGTTGTAGGACACGCATTCGAATACGATTTTCCTCAGTAGGATACCTATCGTAGGCACAGATTGAAGCGTTCTTGGCTCTTAGGAGTTCCCTAACATCGTCGGGGAATTTGAAGCG